TATAGTAAAACCAACAAAATAGTTTCTCCAAGGTTAACAGTACAGTCAGCTGGTTAATCATGAGTTCAGTAAAATCTAATAATTTTAATGTTTTAATAATTTCGAAATGAATGGTTAAGAAAGGGATTTTGATAATTGGATTCAATTTTCATGACGATGAAGCAATTCTTTTTAGTGAGAGGGATGGGGCGAGGGAAAAAAATGCTAACATTTATCTAAAGCTACTTTTCTGAGTTTCTAAGAACAACAAAACGTAGCTTTTTGAAATATAATTTGACAGTGTATAAAAAACTCAAAATTTTATATCCAACTTTCCTACATATATACATAATGTAAATATCATTCACATTTGAATATACCTGTAATCTCATTCATTTGACTTGAGTCCTATTGGTTTAGAAATTCTGAAGAGAGGTGAGTTTATCTAATAAGTCCCATTATTAGAACTACTGGTTGTCCCATAAGTGAACATCATTTCAAACCGTGGGCCAACAAATCAGTATCTTATGATTAGAATTTTCTTTTAGATAAAATAAAAGAGAATAATAGAAAATATCAGTGTGTAATGCATAGATAAAGAATAAGCAATGTTTTCTTAAGCTTTTGGTTCTGTATTACACACATTTGTGCACACACACATAAATATAACCAGGCCACAATGTAAAATGTATTTTGCGTTGCGGACCACAGTCAAAAACGCTTGGCAAAAAACTTCCCATGTTCAGATGCAAAAGATTTAGATCTGTGATTTTGCATTTGCAGAAATTGAATTTAAGGAAGGAGAAACCCAGCACAATGTTGAAATCGAAGTCATCTTTGATGGGGTAAGAGAGATGAGAGAGGCCTTCACCGTTCACCTAAAACCCGATGAAAATATGATAGCAGAGACTCAGGTAAGTAATGCAGTGTGTCTATACATTCGTGGCCAGCATTTCATCAGAGGAAATGCACATAAGCTGTCACTAGTATACAACAAAGTGGGGAGACTTTACAAGCCTTACATCAAAGAGACATGCATAATTCCTTTTCGCCACCTAAGTAAATTTTGTTCTGATTATGTCATAATCAAGAAATTCTTATCCCTTTCTTTGAAAACTCATGTTTGTAGAAACTCAAGGACTGAAGTCACTGGGCCCCATGCTAGCCCACTTCCCTTCCCCGTGTCAATCAATAGTGATTGAATTTGGGATTAACCTCTGGAGAGAAAGTATCATCCCAGTTTAAAGAGGGGACTGTTAATTCAGTGCCACAACTCATTAAAACGTACTTTTGAACCCACAAAACAGTCTTTTAACCCTCAAAATCTCCACCTGTGTCTATTAGCTTTATCAGAATTTGATGTCCAGAGCCTTGTGACCAAAATGTTATAGTCCTCAAACTTGTCTTCTATACTTACTTAATTTATATTGCATTAATATCATCAACCAGATTTTCCTCCAAATAAACAGAATTTTCACAGAATTTTGACATTTACACAAAAAATAATTCTTAAAACTATATGTCATTTTAGGAACAGATCCATTTTTATATCTATGCCTAAATATACTGTATTGTTTTTATTATTAATATTTGTTTCACTATTAGTATGAGATCAAGTTGAAAAAATTATTTTCCTAAACTATTTTTGTCGTTTTTTAATCTTTATTGTTTAATTGCATTTCTGCCACAGTGTCTTGCATTTTTTCAAGTCATATTTAAAATTTAAGAAGTATGGGCAGAAAACCTTTATCAAGTGTATTTTTATGTCTTGATCACATAAAAATGAAACTTTGATATTATTTTTATGGAGCATATGAAACTTTCGAGTGAAAGGAAGAGAGATTCATTCAAATTACTTCCAGGGATAAAAGCTTCTTTTAAGAATATACATGTAAATACAGGTTTGGAAACCGTAATATGTTGTCAGATACTGAAAGTTATTAGGAGCCAGGGCAAATTTATGGCAAGGTGTTCTTGTCACCTTGTCCAGCAGCAGAGCCTCACAGATTCCTCGTCTGGAGCTCAGTGTCGCCTCTGCCTGTGTTTCAGGCAGTGTCTTCTGGCCGTGTCACGTTCAAAGCTTTGCTCATTATCCCTGGCATCCGCTTCATCACGGCCATACTATCCCATGACTTTCACGATCTCCCTTCTCTCCAGTTGTCTTTCAGCTTTCCTTCAATTATCAACTAACTGACCTTTTTGTAGAACTTCCACTTCACAACCCCAAGACTGATTTAGCTACTATCATCACAACTGAAGAAAAAAATCAGAGTCCAGATACTTCAATGGCCACTGCCCAACCTTTGGATTAGCTGCCCCAGGCTCAGGTGCCCTCCCCTGGAACCATGAGTTGTGAACAAGGGGCCAAGGTCACGTGCAATAAGCCACATGGGA